TTTGTCACGTGTTTATTAACATGTTCTAACACCCATGATACGATCGCTTTCCCCCGAGGGGGTCCGGAACATCCCACTTCGATCATCGAAAAAATGTCATGTTTCAAAATCGCTTTACGCCCAAATTTTTTCACTGATATCCGGTCAACTTAATGTGTTCTGATAGCTCATGATCACCTCAGGCGGATGTGAATGTTATTGAATAAACTATACAATATTGGTTTTGTGTATTTGTAATACAGAATGTAACAATATAGTGAAATAAAGCGATTTTAATAGGTGTATCCGTGTAAGTCGCAGAATGTACACTTAATCAATATTGAACAGGTATTGATTACGGTGAGATGAAATTATCAGTTTCTTTACATGGCCTTACCATTAGCTGAGAGAACCTCATTAGTATGATTATTTTTCAAATCCGTGTATACATATGTTTGTCGACAACCGGGACCAGGTCGCCGATTTAGAATCCCACATCAAAATCTAATACTAATGTAATCACTTTGTGTCCCCAGCAAAGTACCGGATGCAGGTAATAAATACGTGCCGTTGGGCTGTTTGCAGGAATGTCGGGGTAATATAGACAATTGTAACGGAATTTTATGTAAACCTCAGGTTGTAAGCAAAAAGGATACGTACAGGTATAGGTTGTAAAACAAGGATACATATAGGTAAATTGTTTAATTGGCATAATTTAGTTGTGTTTGTGTCGTTGGGCATCTCGGGTTACAGTATTTCTTCAAAATACTGCAATGTCTGCAAACGAATTTCGCGAAAAAGTGAGTGTTGCACGTGTGATATGTGATATCGTGAAGTTGGTGGATGAAGTGAACTAGTGCCTAGGCATATCAAAAATTTCATGTGCGAGCATGGTGGCTATTAACGGTTATATTTTAATCGAAAATAACAAAAGGTAAGCAGTACCCGGCCGAAATCGACAATTTCACTATTCTATCAACTGAAATAAAAAAATGACAGGGAGATCGTTAAAATATGCGTGTTTTTTGGCATTATATTCTTTTAGGCGCATCGGAACAATTGTGCTATATATGCCAAATTACTCGACTCAGTATTTCAATTTTTCTGCGTCCGATATTGGTCGGGCTGGTGATGATGTGCAGTTTCAACAAGCAAGGGGTTCAGAGAATAAACAACTGGGCTTAAATATCGTAGTGCCCGCGATTACCAACTAGAGGTGATATCTAAAACCGAGCAAGAACTGCTCAAAGATGGGCATCCGCAAGACATTTCCCAATTTAACCAGCCTACCACAAAATTGCATCCGAAACAAAGCGCGGGAACAGACTGCTGCTCAGTTCGCGGGACTGATCCGATTTGTTTCAATATTGCATTAAGCAGCATAACCAGCTTGACCCTTATTTGCGATATGTCGCTAGCAGTTCTCCTCTAATACCGAAATGCCAGTTAACATAGTTCCACCTAGAGGAGCAATTATACATTTTGAAGCAACAGGGTCTGTTTGCCGCAAACCTCAAAGTTTTTAAAAAAATAATAACTACAGTATCGACCTGAGATGTCATCATTCGACAATTCCTATTGCCGAACTGATCACATCGCAACAAAACATCTGCTCTATATCTTTGTTTTTAAAAATGTATTGAGTATCGCCTTCAATAAGGTATATAAATGGCCACTGGTGGCGGGCGGTGGTCATCCACTGGAGCACTGTAAAAAACATTTGGTCAATTATTAGAAATATAATTTTTTTGTGAGAACGCCACGTAAACCCACCCCTAACCCTAAAAAATTATGTTCCGGACCCCGCTCGAGCGATCGACGATCATGGGCTATTAGAACACGTTAAGTTGACCGGATATCAGTGAACAAATTTTGGGCGTAAAGCGATTTTGAAAATGACAGGTGTTTTCTCGAAATCTGATCGAAGTGCGGATCGGGGTGTTCCGGACCCCCTGGGGGAAACGGCTTGGTGGGATGTTAGAACATGTTAAATAAACACGATTCGCACAAAAAAATTTTGGGTGTAAGCCAATTTTTTTTGAAATATAATTTTTTTAGCGCGAACGCATGTAAACCCACCCTAACTCTGAAAAAGAATGTTCCGGACCCCGCTCGAGCGATCGACTATCATGGACTGTTAGAACACGTTAAGTTGAACGGATATCAGTGAAAAATTTTGGGCGTAAAGCGATTTTGAAAAATGACAGGTGTTTTCTCGAAATCTGATCGAAGTGCGGATCGGGGTGTTCCGGACCCCCCTGGGGGAAACGGCTTGGTGGGATGTTAGAACATGTTAAATAAACACGATTCGCACAAAAAAAATTTTGGGCGTAAGCCAATTTTTTGAAATATAATTTTTTTAGCGCGAACGCCATGTAAACCCACCTAACTCTGAAAAAGTATGTTTCCGGACCCCGCTCGAGCGATCGACTATCATGGACTGTTAGAACACGTTAAGTTGAACGGATATCAGTGAAAAAATTTTGGGCGTAAAGCGATTTTGAAAAATGACAGGTGTTTTCTCGAAATCTGATCGAAGTGCGGATCGGGGTGTTCCGGACCCCCCTGTGGGAAACGGCTTGGTGGGATGTTAGAACATGTTTAAATAAACACGATTCGCACAAAAAAATTTGGGCGTAAGCAAATTTTTTTGAAATATAATTTTTTTAGCACGAACGCCAGGTAAACTCACCCTAACTCTGAAAAAGTATGTTCCGGACCCCGCTCGAGCAAACGACTACCATGGGCTGTTAGAACACGTTAAGTTGACCAGATATCCGCGAAAAAATTTTGGGCGTAAGGTGATTTTCAACAATTACGGGTTTCCGATCTGATTCAACATAGTAATCTTTTATATCTATATATTTTTTTGGAGGTAAACCACGAGTTAATGCCATGTCCACTCAAGGACACTTGAGTTATGTTTGTCTCATGCGATTAACGCAAAAAACCGCATTTTTCATTATAATTTTCACGAAATAATAACTTTTTCGCGTTACTCACAACTTTGGGGATGTTTTTGGGGAAGGGGGGCTAGACTTCAATGACACATAAAACACATAAAATAAACGATACTGCATGAAAATCGCATTGATTTACGCACATTTAAAGCCAAAAGACGTGGTTGTACGTTGAAATGACAAATTTTGTGCACTGCTGCCTTTATAAACGTTTCGATCGCGCTCGTCGATCGGTTCTTCAGCCACATAGACTAGCTCCGTTATTTACGAGTACTGTCGTTATGAAATAATTGCAATTGGGCCACCAAGTCCACTACACCATAGCACAGCTACAGGAATACGCCATGTCAGCTGGGTGCTACCTCTGTTACTTTCTAATTTTTGCGATATTTGCATTATAATAGCCAAACTTCGATTCCCAACGACTGGCAACGTGGGCCGGATGGGTATTGAAAATATGCATTGCAAATAAGGATGTGATTCAGCGGGTTAATTTTTATTAGAATTGGTTTATGGAAGGAAGCTTATCGCGATTTGTTGCATCCACTATGCTCAATCTTGACAATAAGTCAAAACAAGATCTTGATGTTGACTTTATCCACGTTTCGGTTCCGCGATGGCCTTTTTCAAAGTAGAAAACAAAAAAATTAATGATTGAATTGTATTATAAGGGTAACGATCGGGTTATGTTAACATTTTCAACAAGAATTATTTAGCATATCTTCGATTACTCGTGCTGCAGATGTCTTATTGATGCATCAAATTGCAAGAAATGATACTTCAAAATCTCTAAGTCATCAAGTTGCTGGATGCATAAAACGGTAAAAATTGAAGACTGTCTAGTGAAGCAAAGTCCCTACACATTTTTATGAATTATAAAGTTATATGTAAACTTGGAGAAGACATTCATATTAAATTCTGTTATTTGGAAGGTACTGGGTGAAAGTCATACGATCAGTAGGTATTTACTGTGGTCCATACCCATCAGTACTTACTGGTCATTCCGTCAGTCTCAGTGGATTTCTACGTAACTTAATGGTTAATAAATATCAAATTAGTAGTTTTTAACTGTTATTTGGGCTTAATGTAGTATTTGTGTCCCAAAAACTGAAATTTCGAGTGAACTTCACAGTGTGATAATAATGGAAAAAGCCTTAAAAGCTGCTATGGACTTAGGGTAGCTTTATAGCAAAAAATAGGGTTAGTGAAATGTAACTTAAGCATAATAAGATCTTGCATAACTGATTAATGAAAATTACACTTAGATATTGATTCATTAACATTCGACGTTTTGATTTTGCATGTTTTAACATTTTTAAGGTACATAGTGGAACCCCGGGCAAAGCGATACATGAGAAAGTAGAATTTCCCTGTTATACATCTCAACCATGAATTGAGCTTATAGTGAAAATATCCATAGACTTATTACGAGGGATGTCTTTTAAGTTTTGCATTTGAAAAAAAAATATAACACGGTAGGTAGTTTCATCAACTTACTTTATTGTTTTTCGAAGTATTCTCACGAAGATTAATACACATCTGCATGCGCTCGTACCAATTTTCGAAGCACTTATTCCACTCGTTTGCTGGCAGATCCAAAACGGCATTTTTGAATGCGTCAACTGCTTCCTCTGGTGACTGGAACCTTTGACCACGCAGTCTGTTTTTAATTTTCGGCAAAGTAAGAAGTCGTTAGGACTTAGATCGGACTATATGGACTATGGTCCAATAATTCCACGTTTTCTTCCGTTAAATACTGCCTTGTTTTTTGGGCTGTGTGCGAGCTTGCATTGTCTTGGTGGAGGATGATTCTTCTTTCGGGGTTGATTTTCGAAGCTCAGTGATGACTTTTGGCAAACAAATGGGGTATACCAATCCGCAGTAACAGTTCTTTGTTCATTAAGAGGAATTGTCGCAATATGACCCGCTATTGACACAAAATGTCGCGACCATCTTTTCGAAACACTTCGAGAACGGATGACTTTTGGCTTTTCTTCACCTTGGCACACCCAAACAGCCGAGTGTCGTTTATTTTCTGGTTCATAACAGTAAATCCACGATTCATCACCACTAACAATGCTGTTTCCGGAATTGAAACGGTCAAGCGTTTTTGATACCAAGTTTTCCTGGGTGACTGCTGATTTTGGGGCACCCACCCTGGGATCGTCACTAAGACTCACCCGTCCACGTTTGAATTCTCCATACCAACGGGAAATTGTCGACTGATGTGGCGCTTCGTTGCCGAAAACAGACAGTAACTCAGCAAGGCATTCTTGTTGCGATAATTGTCTCTGAAAGTTGTAATACATTATGGCACGAAAATGTTCTCGGTTGAGTTCCATTTTTCTAATGACTTGGTGACACTTAAAAATTCCCTGTAGTGAGAACACTGCACGTATCGTTGTGAAACTTTGAATTTAAGTTTAACTAAAGAGTGAGGTTGAGACTCAGTACTGATGTTCGATCCGCGCGGCCTACTATGTTTCTATAATGCAAAACTTAAAAGACATCAATCTAGTTCAACTTTCTTGAATAATCGGCATCCAACGTGGCAGAACCCACGTGCTTATTTAACTACAGGGCACCAAATGTATTTTTCAAGAAAAATTGACTTTGCAATATATATTTTTTACGTGTAAGAAAACTCTTAAACAAGTAATTTCGGGCAAAGCGGATAACGTCTGTAATCTTATTTTTGCACTTGAAGAATTTTAAATTTGTTATTTTAAATGTATTATGTGGTGTTTAACGAAGCGTTTTCGGTAAAATCATTTTGGTAAAAATGGACTCAAGTGGTTCTTGATTCAAATTTTTCTCATAAGATCAACGCTGGTGCCTTTGAGAAGTCGCAGTGTTTTTTAGGTATTTTGATATAAACAATGCTCGTTAAGCATGCTACTAACGATAACTCAATAAAAGTCACTCATTTCTGTGGGCTCTTGTTTTCAAAGGAAGAACATCAAAAACAAAACATTAAGTGATATGAGCCAATCTGGGATCCCAGAGCAACATAGTGTCATCAGTAATGAGCAATAGCATCCAATATTTTTTCAGAAATCATTCGTGACCTTTTGACTAACTGAAGGGTATATGGCACTACCAGCTTACTCTAAAAACTTGAGCTTAATTTATCTTATCTGTCCATGATATCATTACTAAATATGATCACTTTTCTGATTTTTTTCTATACTTTATTGATATTCCGTTAGTGCATTGCGGCTTTTTGTTCTGTAACAGATGTATCAAGCTGTTTTGTCAGCATTCAGAAAGTTGAATTCAGCATATTAAATATTGGACTCATTACGATACAAAATCAAAATGTCTTCAATATAACGGTTTCATGAATAATCGATTCTAGGTCTCAATATGAGAACAGTAAAATTGCAACAGCCGGTTAATTTTAGCAATTCGCGAATATTATGTAAGAAAGCAGTAAGACAGGTTATTCTCCTGATTGTTCGTTTTTATGATATTGCATACTACATCTAACGAGAATGCAAACAAGTAATAACCCTGAGACAGAGAAGCTGTAAATGTTTTTTCGGCTACCTGGTACCATTCCCCCCTAAAAGGCGCAAAATTCAGGAACAGATAATGTTTATTTTACGACAAACAAATACTTGAAGGTGTAAAAAGTAAATTGATTTCTAGGTTTATCAGATCTACTTAATGCGGAACATGACACAATTTACAATAAGGCGAGAAATTTCTATACAGGGTGTCCCGAAAAAAGTGTGCAATATTCTACCAGCGGTTTCTAGTGCTTAAAATAGGAAGAAAAGTTTATGTAAACATAGGTCGTCAAACGTCCCCTAAGGGCGCTACGGTCTTTTAAAGGGGCTCCCCTGAAGATGGTTTTTCCTTAATATTTCCGAAACGTGTTGAGATAAAGACATAAAATTTGGTATTCTAGCCTAGTTTTTTTATGATGGATTTAAAAATATTAACAATTTTAGACAGTTTGTTTGGAAGCGTATATAACAGGGACGGACTCAGGTTATTTTAGCCCCAAAATTTTTGTGTGATTCTATTTTTGAAATTCAATTTTAGAATTTGAAAGTTTAGGGTTTTCTATATAAAAGTACTCTTATTGAAGTATCGATAAATTGTGCCATTTTTGAATAAAATCAAACTAAAAAATTAGTCACATGGTAGGAAATGTACTGCGAATTTAAATGAATTGTTGAATAATTAGCCATGGCAACGAAAAAACTAATTTAATAATTGGTAAATATTACATAAATACATATTTCTATTGCAGCATAGCTAACATTTAGGCAAAAACAAAAGAATAAATTTTTCTACGAGCGAAATTGAAATTTGTTTAAAAAGAAGACATACAGTTGGATATACTTAAAACTAGGTTTACAATAAGTGTTCAAATAAATTCCCATTTTGTTGGATACAGAGTCTCGCTCGACGAACTAATGGTTGCGTAGCCAGACAAGTGGAAAACCTTTTTCTTCTTATTTCATTTGCAGCCTGATGGATTTGTTGAAGTAAATCTTCTTGAGTATTTACATCAGTCGAGTAAACTAGGGTCTTTTAATGACCCCCAAAATAGAAATCCAATGAATTTAGGTCAGGTGAACGTGGCAGCCACGCTATAGGACCTCCTCGGCCTAACCACCTGTCTGGAAAATTGACATTCAACCAATTTCGAACATTGCGTCCAAGATGTGTAGGGGTGCCATCATGTTGAAACAACATATTTTCTTTAAACTGCTGGCGCACATCCAATGGTACTAATGGGTGATTTTTGTTTTTTCATACTGACAAGAACGTGTGAATAAGGCTTAATCGTGGGTGATGTGAATGAAGAACGGTCGATTTTTGTGACGTTAAATAAGAAAGTATTTTGCGAGTTTATGTTTTTAATTATTAATAAAAATGGCACATGTGTACACTAATGACGAGTTAGTAGACATTGTTTTAGCGTACGGAGAAACAGGGCAAAATTCGCGAGCGGCTTCTCGATTGTATGCACACGTAATTGTTTTACGTGCAAGTGCTAGTGGAGATTTGCGCCCCAGGAGTCTCCCGATATAAGCCTTCTGGACTTCTTTTTATGGGGATACTTGAAAAACGAGGTATCCGGTAGAGTTGCGTGACCGAATCACAGTGGCTGCCGATAATTTGAGCTTTCAGGCACAGCAGGAACGAGGTGTATTTGAATTAGTGCGCCGAAATTGGATTAGATGCTCCCAAGCTTGCATTGCAATCAATTTTGAACAGCTTTCATAAGTAAGTGAACTGTTAAACTGTATTATTTTATTATCTCGATTTCTGTAGGACCTTTATTACATTTTTTTTGAGAAATCAACTTCTTTCGTAACAGTCAATATGTGGTTAAAATTTGTCGGATAAGTTGTTAAACATCCTGTATAATGTCAAAAAAAAAAAAACAGACAAAATGTCAATCTGAGTAGATTGCTCCTAGTGTGCAAAGTTTATTCCATCATTTCTCACTGTGAGCGCTGTGAGCGTCACGTATGGAGGAATGATTCAACGACATGCTTTGTCGGTTGCAGAATGATGAGGTAATCTGTGGCTGTAGAATTGGTTGAGTAGCAGAATAGCAAGATCGCATTTGGATAATATGGGAAAATTATTACTGAATATGATGCCCATATTATCTGTGCCAGGCGGATTATCTATGCCCTTGCTGAAGAGAGGTTATGTTCAAAGTTATATTTATTTTAAAAAGCAAATATACTGACTTATTCACCAAAGATTTTCCCAGTGCCTCAACATCTAGCCGACTGATTTGTATTAACTACTTGACATCTCGTCGTTTTTGTGCATTCATAAATGAGTATATTGAAAACTGTAAAATAGATAGAAGTAACGTCGCCTGTCGCTCATCATCTGCCACCCGTATCCTGCTACTTTGGAGTATACCCGCAACCTTAGCAGATATGTGTATATCTGTCATCTTTGATACCGTGACATGGTCATGACACCTAGTTTCCGAAATCGTGACCACGTCACACTTTTTCACGGCATTTGGTAGCAATCGTGATTATAGTTTAGAGATATCAGTAGCTATTAAGTCATGGAATATCTGGCGCCACTGAACCTTTGATTGGAGGGTTCGGCATGGAAGCTGATTACGGGCTATGTACAATACGATTTTGTTGGTGCTACGAGGGTCTATGTGTTGGTACGGCCTGCAGTTGGTTTGCAATTTTACCTCCGACCGTCGCGCAAAGTTTTGCTTTATTCAGTATGGGATCAGGAAATGCTTTTGATGCAGCTTAGAGTCGAATCTGCCACTCCAAGAAAGGGTACGGTGAATTAAATAAAACTGTCCCAGGTCTGAGCACTTTGCTGGATTAATACTCAATTTAATATTAATTTCCCATCTCATTATATATAATGATTGATAGCAGAAGCTAAAAGAGGATTAAACGTGACATGAGACAAGACTCGATACCCCTAGCATATTTGGTGAATTCTCGCAGATCGTGGCGTATACGTATGTGACCTAGATTCAGTATCTCGTAATTGGTGGAGGGCATTGAAAGGCATGTATGTACGTATTTTTACAATGATGTACGTGACATGGTTCTACAAGTAAGATGAGAGAAAGCAATGGTGCTCTTATCCATCCCCAATACAAAATAACGTAGATTCGGTGGTCGTAAATTAACTAACATCATATTAACACTTTGAATGATCAACTTTTAAGTTGTGATATACCATGTTGTCGTCGATGTTTCGGCCAAATGTCCCTAGGTTTCAATTTGATTGCATCTGTTTTAGTATAGTAGTCCTCAACGTAAAGAATCATTAAAATCGTGATATATGTGCAATAAATTCCTAAAGTACGTCTCCCGCCTGAATTTTTATTTTTATAATAATCTATTTGAGAAAGTTAGAATTTCATCGGCTAGATGCCTTTGTAGATGTATTTATGTAAAAATATGCAGTTAGGTATATAAGATTCTGCTATTAACGTTTCATCACCGAAGTAATAATAGAAATATTCCAATCCACTGTCATTATAAAACTACGAATAGTGGTCATACTCAGAGTGTAAATAACTTACATATAGCCAGGCCAATGAAAATAGAAGAGTAGATTCAGATAGACCAAATGACAATTTTAGCCAGAGAAAATTGATAAAAAGGTAAGACATCTACAAATTGTCTGTCAAAGTGTTCTTCGCTTAAGCGTGATTACTTGTTTACACTCTTATTGCATGTGTTGGATTGCGCAAAGCTGACATTATACTCGCACAATATTGTTGATAGATTTCTTATTTCTTAATATTTGTTAATTTGACACCTCAAGGATTCTAATTTTCTCTAAACGAGGCTTATCGCTTCGTTAATTATAC